TACTATATTACTGAATTATACAAATTAACAAATGTCAAAGGGAGCCTTATTGTTAAATGTAAGACAGTAGGTACACTATTTATTAATGACTAATAAACTTGTATAAATGCCATAAAGGAGCCTTATTGTAAAGTGTAAAACAGTACACTATTTATAAGTCTCTGTTATGATATTATTAGTCATTAATAAATAGTATACTGTTTTACACTTTACAATAAGGCTCCCTTTGATTACTGTGGATGTGTATAATGTGGTAAAACAGTACAATATTACATGTAAAATATGTTTTCCATAAATTATTGTGCTTACAAGAAAGTAAACTAGTCTGAAATGTTTATTAAAGCACCGTTTAGATGTAATATATATGTGAACAGATTTGGCTCACTATTTGGCAAGAAACCGGACAATTTTGTCTGTTTCCCATCTTAATTAATGAATAATAAACACTTATTAACGATTTATAAATTGTCTACAGATGAATTAATAACCGATCTACAAAACTTTTTATTAGCCATCTATAAGGGGAGCCTTATTGTAAAGTGGTACCCAATTGTATTATTGCATTTTATCCACAATCATCAAAGGGAGCATTATAGTAAAGTGTAAGACAGAACACTATTTATTAACGAATAATAATAAAATGTATAAATATCATAAGGCAGTCTTATTGTGCTTACCTAGTCTGAAATGTTTAATAAGCACCTTTAGATGTAATTTGCCCGTAAACAGATTTGGATCACTATGTGGCAAGAAACCATACAGTTATGTCTCTTTCTCATCCTTAATTAATGCATAATAAACACTTATTATTGATTTACAAAGTGATGATGAATTAATAACCTATAAAGTGGAACCAATAAAACCTACTGAAAATATTCTGAAAATCAGGTTGACAAAGAAAATGATCAGAGTTTCTTTTAGAGAACTGAAAGTTTAAAATATGTATTTACACCAGTTTAAAGATAATATCTCTGAAATGTGAGTGTGTTTGTGTCAGCACTCCCCTGGAGATGACAGCCTCCTTATCTGCACCATCTACCTCACCCTCACACACACACACACACATACACACCCTGACATGTGTGTTTGTCCTCTCCCAGCTCCAGTCCTCGGGGACAGTGGCACCGATARGCGTCCTGCAGGGGGGAGCAGCCGTGGCTGCAGCCTCCGTTGTTGACATGGCAGCCTGCAACCTCTGCGTGAAGCAGCCGGGGAGGAGAACAGCTGAGAGCTGCAGATTGCTTTGGTTATCTCTGTGCAGACTGGTGTGTGTGTGTGTGTGTGTGTGTGTGCGTGTGTGTGTGTGGTGTACCTCTACAGTGGCGTCCATCCTCATCCAGCGTGCGGCCCCTCCCGCACTCACAGACCCTGGAGCCTTTGGTGTTCACACACACCTCTACGCAGCCACCGTTCCCCTGATCGCACTCATTTACATCTGAACACAGCACAGATCGTCAGATAGGATCGTCTACGGGGTGCCGTTTGTAAAGTTACACAGTCAAAAATTACCACCAATATTTTTTTTAGTCTTTTATAAGAAAAAAAGAACAGATTTATTTTTTCAAAGTCAGTTTTTCACCATATGATACATACATTTATAAATGTTATAGTTGATAAACTAAATATTTAACTTACAAATTAAATGTTTAGTTAACAAGCTAAATATTTAATTGTGACTTAAATATTTA